ATACGAAAGGAAAGTATCCCAGTACACTGATTGGCTCGTAGATGTGGTTCATGAAGCAAAGGTTTGAACATTAGATTCACCCAGTGCATAAACGGAATCTGTAGTATCAAGTCAGTTTTTCATACAGCTGGAGAATCGAGACTTTGGAGGTCTGCTCAGTGAGGTTGGATGGATAGATAGGCCAGGGCAGAAAGAGGAGTGATAGTGTAAGCGTTTTCGAAGGATTGACTTCACTTGTCTCTTTAAAGAGTTTGTAACTTTGCGCGGAGAATGGCAAAACTCACTGATGATACCGGCGAAACATTTGAGAATGTAACAAGTTCACTGCCGAATGCTGGGAATCATGACAACTACTATGGCAGACAACTTCAGACTAGGTGCTTTCTACCAAGTCCCCTTGACAACAAGACCAAGTTGCAACAACTAGATAAACCCATTTCTATAAATCGAAAGGAGACTGCGGCCACACCAGAGGACACATCATCTTGGTCTTCATATCTTAATTCATACAGTTGTGAGAAAATTCAACTACTTATAGTTCATTACTTTAATGAAATAAGTCGAATACCTCTCATATATTTGATCAAATGATAGTATCAAAACAAATTTATAAACAAACATTAAAATAAGGTTATGAAGGTCTTTTGTATGGTCACAATATACTTTCGTTGTATATAAGTAGTTTGACCTCGTTTTCGCAACTTGGTCATATTGGTAGGAAGATTTAGAGGAACGCACCTAGTCCGGATTCCATTGTATACATGATCATTTCCAAAGTCGGACCGTGGATGGGGTACATTCTCGTCTGCATCGTAGTCGGCATCGTCACTGAGTCTTACCATTCTTAGCACAACACTAAAACTCGTCAAACAGACAAGTGAAGCCTATCATTTGACCAATTGTCTGCCAAACTATCGTAGTTTTTCTCCTTCCTCCCTGGGTTAATTAAAATGAATTCTTGACTAAAGGGAAGGTTACTTACCAAGATATAGAATATTTAGATTAATAAATTAGTTGATTGTGCTGATAGAATTATTTCCGTCAATATGCATCAATCGTGTACACTTTTAGAGGACTCATAATTCGCATATACATCATTTGAAACCTTCGAGGATGAGCTGATTGGATAACAGTGCTAAGTTGAATGGCTTTTTGTGCTGCATGGCATTGAGATATAGAATAAAAAACTGTGAATTCTCTTTAAATCGTTGTGAGTAGAGTCGCTATCTCTCCTATACACTCCGACAAAAACGGTAGGAATTGAGCAATTGGATTGTTTACAAGCGTTATTAAATATTAAACAAGATGAAGAAATACGGATTGTGGCTATGACACGAAAAACACCTGAAAGGGTATAAAGCGGATTTAGAAAATATGGACCCTGGTCATAATTTTGTCCTACTTTTAATTAAGTTAGCATTTCGTCAAAAGTTCAATTGTTTCACCCCCGATGCGCACGGCTGGTTACTCTGCCTTATTTTCATATATATGAAGAGTAACTATGTTTAGATGAATCTCTTAAGATAACATTGTTGGAGAGACTTTTATTTTGTACAGAAGTGAATGCTGATGAGGTTCATTTGTTAATCTCACAAAAGGACGATGGCATATTCACGTTGTTCCGCAGCAGTTTGGCTTCAATACGATGTTCATGCTGACGCATTCAGAGAGAAATCGACTATTGTCTTAGGATTAACCTTATAATTTGACAATAATGAGTTCGAGCTCTGATGATATACATCATATGATGGACGAAATCCTAGCCAGGTTTCACACAGAAAGAAGGAAGATGGTTCCTGGAATGCATCAGTACTAACGTCGTATTAAAGCCAAACGGCTGCATAACAATGGAAATCAGCAGTCGTCTTCTGGTGAGATCTAACTACGAATCTCTTCATTATACACTTTGATACGAAATGAATGTCTCCCCAACAATGTTATCTTAAGAAATTGATCGAAAGCCAGTTACTCTTAATTTCTTTCATCTTATTCATGGTACTTGTACTTGATTGTGTCTGTGCATGTACGTATGTAGGCGTTAGTTGGCGTTTGTACTAAACACCACTCCAAAATAATGTTAGTTACCAAAGTCTAAAGTCAGGCTTGCTTCAGCAAGGTTTAATGGTCTAAGGAAAAGCATGCTCGAGATTGCGTAAATCCATAAGCAGCTCTGGTTGAGATATTGAGGTGTAAGCATACACACGTAAAAGTCAGGTTACAAATCCACCGGTCAGAACCTGTCAGTTTGGGGTCACTTAAATTTAACAACTCAAGGAAAAGCATGATTGGGACCACGTATTCTCGTACGCCATAGCATGCCTGTTGAGCGAGTGTAAATTTAGTTGAGACCATCACCCAACTGGTAAGTTGGGTAAGTTGGAGGTTTAGGTAAGTCAATCTTTCAATCATGCTTAAATAATTCCTACTAAGCCTTCTACCACCATTCCTCCCATTCAAAGTATTTCATAATCCATTAATTTCAATAGTCTCTCTTATCTTGCGTTTCGTAGCAGACATACCATAATCGGCAAACCTCTGCACCTGAGACCATTTTATTTCACGTCCAGTCATCGCGTTGTGCTCACCCACTTCTGAATGTTCGACCCAACCGCTTTTACAAGCCTTCTTGTTCTCTGATAATCTTTGGCGGATACACCAATGGGTCTCACCAACATAAGGCCATCTAGAGAAGCACACAAACTCGTAACAGATGTATCTTGATGATGAGTCTAAAGGAAGGCTAAAGTGTCAGAGTTCTTTTGGAAAATGTGTTGATGCCCGCTTCCTTACTAGTCTGAAAATTTATTCCTTATTAAAGTTATATTACTATCAATTATGACTAAAGGATAATTATTTTTGAAGAATAGAGCCTTTGGCCATTCCAAATCGTTAGTCTGATGGTTTCTATCAGCTAGTTCCTTATGAGCTTTGAGTTTAAGATTTTAATCTTAACTTTCCAACAATGATTGGAAAAAAAATTTATTTTTCGTAAGTAGAAATTTTCTCATACTAAAGAAAATTTAGTAGAGCCAACATAGGTTGGTTTCCCATAAACCTCCCTAAATTACCATCTTCTCTAATGACCTGAACATCCAAAAAGGATTGGGACCTATTCTCTCCTTATTCCATTGTGAACCTGATATTCCTTTCACGTTGGCTAAATGAAAGTAGGGAACTAGCTCATCTTTCCTAAGCAAGTTGTCAGGTGAAAGGTAGTAATTCATTAATCCATACAACAATTTAGGAATTATTAGTACCTATTCCACTAGGTCTTCATCAAATTTGGCCATAGAGCTATTAACCAAAATGGGAGCCCAGCGAGGTCCTTGTGTCTGTTCATAAAACTTACCGTCAAAGGTAAAATAGGTGCTACTCGTGCATAGGTTAAGAAGTTAAAGGATGGAGGCTATACTGAATCTTAGTTTTTGTGTAATCCCCGGACGTTACTTCTGAGTTTGCGGTAAAGCTTGAATGGCCCTTGAACAGTAATATTTGTCTCCGCAACTTGGTCATATTGGTATGAAGACTTAGAGGAACACACCTAGTCCGGAGTCCATTGTATGCATCATCATTTCCAGAGTAGGGCCATGGACGTGGTACATCCTCAGACGTTTCGCCGGCATCGTAGTCGACATCGTCAGTGAGTCTCGCCATTACCATGATAGGAGGGTATAGGAAATGTGAATAACCCCAGACAGAAAGGGAGATACCATGACTGTTTAGT